TCTTTTGAATTCAGCTTTTTGCTCCTGATTTCAATGTAGGTTTCAATCCTGATTTCAGTCTGTAACCAGCCATCAGTACTCATACCACAATCTGAATATTGAACTGTATTAAGATTTCTTCCACCAGATTCACTAGTCCTCTACCCTAAATCTCAGTCTCCTGCAAAGTCTCGGGACAAATTCTGTGTAGTGCAGCACACATTGTTCTAGCCCAGTTGCTGATGGATTACTTGCTCCCAGTTGAAACTTCTTCAGCCTGCCCTTTATGTCTGCATTTCTGTCAGTAGACTGGCCTTCCTGAGCTCGGAACAAAATCACTCATCAGCCTCTCCCTGCAGCAATCTAGGACTTCTCTAATGCACTTCTCTAAATTTTTCCAAACTTCTGCTCCAAACAAGCTCCAAAGGCTTCTGACCACATGGTCAGGAGCAGCCAGAGCAATGGCCCCACTCCCGGGCCACAGTCTGTAAGAGTCAATTTCTATCACTGGACAGTGAAACTGGAAGGAGGCAAGGTCTGCTGAGAATCATCAGTGTTTCAATGAGTTCAACCCTAAGAGTTGGCTCCAAGGGAGAAATGGTATGGCAGCAGGTCATGGCTGACGAGAGCCTCTCGCTTTGTGGAAGCCAAGGAGCTAAGGGTGAGTGTAGCAGCTTTGGGAAAGAACCCTTCCAGGTCATGGCCCTGGCCGTTCCCCTGCTCCACGTAGGCCCCACCTTCTGACAGAACATTTTGCGTGAACTCACCAATGACCCAATCCCAATGATGCAGTGACTTTCCAAACCACAGGGCTTTGGGGACACATGTTATATCTAAAATGAAACACATCATGAGAAGAAGCTAATCAGGAAGACCTGATCCACTGTATCAGTGAGTTTTGATTGCCTAATAGAAATGGATTAGTATCTTGGATGATATAAATTAAAAGAAAGATGATATTTGAATATTGGAAGTTATCCTTCTGGATGCCTGAGCCTACAATCTTCTCATCCTCTGAGCTCTCAAGTTTTTCTTTTTAAATTATGTTTTATTTTTTATTTTTATCTATCTAGCTATCTATTTAATTTTTTGTAGAACCCAAGACAACTCAGGACCTTGCACTTGCTAAGCAGGTACTTATGCTGCTGAGCGATATCCACCCCCCCTTTTTTTTAAAGAATA